CTTAGACGCAATGTGTCTTGGAAGCTTTTCTGATGCATCTCTTCTTCTTTTTGCCTTTGGTCTACCCAAAATTCTTCTCTTCAACGGTCGTAGAGGTGGTATGAACTCAGTAGGTGGCCACATGTTGCTACCATTCATCCTATGTATTTGGTATTTGTAACTGTTATTGTACAAGGCACCACATAACATTAGATCCATATAGGTGGCAACATCTCTATTCAGATATGGTATAATAGCTACTAAATTCACACATCCATACCCATTAAGTTGCCACACTCTACAACTACAAGTCTTCTTGTCTAGGTCAACAACATATGACTCTGCCAGGTTTTTGGTTTCAAATTGCCGTAGACCACTTCGTAAAACCCACCAATACCTATTTGAGCCACCACATAAGTTAGTATGTATGTTAGATTAATAGTGTAAAGATTACAAAGTACCTTTGTGCTCTTTTCAATTGATTTAGTAGAAGTGTAATTGATGGGCAAGGTTTGTAATCAGGCCATGAACTACCTTTCATCTTCAAATTGTATAGCCTCTCCATAACATATAATCTAATCTCCTCTAACATGGTGATGATTGACTTTTTCCTTGCATCCCTGATGACACTGTTAAAGCTCTCAGATAATCCATTCTCCACTGCATCACACATCCTTCCTTCTTGAAAGAATGCTCTACTCCAAGATTTCGGTTTTGTTTCCATAAGGTATTCATAGGCTGCAAGGTTAAGCACTTTAATCTCCTTCATGGAAGCATTGAAGAAAGGCTCAATGGATGCTTTGCTTGCCTTCCAATACATGGTCTTAAAGTGTACACCACTGAATCTTTTCCTAAAGTTGGCAACAATATGCCTTGCATACTGCCTATGTTCAGCAGTAGGAAGCACTTCTTTGACAACCTCTAACAACCTCTATCAAACAATAGGGATATGTTAGACATAATGTAACCTAAATGTAAAATATATAAAATTTGAAAGTATAGGACATACCTTATGTTGATCCGACATTAAAGTTATACCAAAACCATTATCTAGATTAAGGTCATCTTTTAGATTTTCCAAGAACCCTTTCCTATTGGATTTGTTTTCTTCACATACAACCGCCCATGTAATTGGTAATATGTCATTATTAACATCCCTTCCTATAACACATATTAGCTCTCCTGAACATAAACCCTTTAAGAAACAACCATCCAAATTTATTACTCTTCTACAACTCCCTCTCCACCCTTGCTTTAGGCAATCAAAACAAGTGTAAAACTTGTTAAAACAAGTCTTATCACCCGAGATAGCATTGACATCAATTTTGATTGTTGATCTAGGATTTGATCTTCTTATCTCCTTCCCATATGACCATAACTTTGCATAGTGCTTACCAATGTTCCTTCAATCAATTCAATTACATACTTCTTTGCTCTTCTATATTGTCCCATACTTACATTTATCCTAAATTTCTCTTTAATCTTATTCCTAATGAGCCTCACACTAACCTTTTGTTTTTTATAAGAATTAGGTGGTGTAATGGCTACATATCTAGACATAGTTCACAATTGAGCCTAAGTTGAAGTTTCTTGCATAATTATGCTCATTTATGAGACTCTTAATTTGGAAAGTTTTTTCCTCACTCATCCAAGAAGCCCACATTCTAAAATTGCAAGCACCAGAATAACATTTCACTAAAAGTCTACTTTTATCATTTTTCTTGTAGCATAACTGATAACCATTTGCAACAACATAGTTACACATCATGTGTTTCAGTTGTTTAGGACTCACAAATCTCATACATAATACATGCTTCTGATTTTTCCAATAAACATTCTCATTGTAAATAACTTGGTCATTAGATATTACTTCATCCTCATGTAGCTGATCATATGGCTCTTCACGAGGTGGACTGTTAGGGGTAACTTGGTCATTTGGGCACAACTTGCTCAAAAACTCATCTTCTTTTGTCTTGTCCATAGGAATACACTCATCAAGTTCATTGTCAACTTCCATGCCAATTCCATAATCTTCCCCACCTTGCAAATCCTCCGTATCACCTTGTAAATTATGACCTAACAAATCCTCAATATCAATTCCATCAATCCTATCCATACCACTTGCACTTCTTCATGAACTTCATTTTCAGTCTCAATGTCAATTCCATCATTCCCATTCATACCACCTTGCACTTCTTCATGATCTTCATTTCCAGTAGACAATTCGTCTAATGAACTGCATACTTCAGCTATCTCGTCAAGTATCCATTGATGTACATTAACACCAAGATGGTCCATCTACACATGAATTACACAATCAGAAGCATACCCTACTTCGAATGAACTACTGATAGTCTAAACTATTATCTATTTTCCTTAATCCATCAGGGAATACAATATCGGGAATGTAAAAGTAAACATTCACGCATAACTCATTAGCGAATCTTTGAAGGAACACCACAAACTCGTTCTTGTCTATTACAGCAAAATCGACATCATCAAATCTTTTCTTTGCTCCATCAGAGTAACAAATAGCAGGGTACCTCGTAAAAATTCCGGCAAAATGGGGATCTATCTTCATGTAAGCTGCCATAGCAATGATTATGTTGGCCGATTTGAGCTCGAGGAGTTTAAGAAACGGATTCGTGCTAAGAACAATTTAAGAAAAGGATATGGATGAAAAGGTAGTAGAATAAAGTAGATGAAAAGGACAGTTCAAGGGCGGTTAAATGGATATTAGACTTCATTTACTCACACACATACGTGGCAATGACATGACATCTTTAATCTACTTGGCAATGACGTGACATAAACAAAGATCCTAGTAGGATGGGTTCAAATATCAAAATGTGATATTTTAAATCATAAAATTACAAGTACAAGCCTTTAAATGTAAAAAAAGTCAAGAAGAACCATTTAAACTAATATTCTAAAGATAGTATAGGTTTTTAATACAATATTGAAGTCTAGTAAATTAGTAAATAGTAACTGACCGAAGGGAAGATTGAAAGTATGTATCTTCTCCAACGATAAAAAAAAATCCATGTATTTGACAGTAATGCAAGTAAGGTTATTTGAAAATCCAACTTATTGCGCTAACTTAAAAAATTATGCTTCTGATTTCTATTATTGAAAATGTCAAATCATTTATTTAATCTCACCGGCAAAAGAAATAGTCATCAAAAGAATAAAAAAAGGACACAATGGTGGGACTCTAAAGTCAGAAGAATCTAATATACTGCTTTCTATATAGATGTTTTGGGAATGCTTATTTAAGCTTATTGACTTATGATGTATTAGGAAAATGAGTTTGTGGTGGTAAAAGCTAACAAGAAGTGTTTGAATTAGCTTATAATTTAAAATTTAAAATTGACTTATGATGTATTAGGAAAATGAGTTTGCGGTGGTAAAAGCTAACAAGTGTTTGAATTAGCTTATAATTAAATCGGGCAATGGGCAATAGACCAATGTAAGTTATAAAAAGAGCTTGAAGATATGAATATTATTTTATTTTTAAAAATCCAAAAGCTATTCAAAAAATCATATATATATATATATATATATATATATATATATATATATATATATATATATATATATATATATATATATATATATATATAATAACCACAAGTCTATAAGATATTTCAAAATTAAAAATTGGGCCTTTAAAGGTTGTTATTGCTAATTTTATTCATATGCTTTGATTTTTTTTTTTTTGAATAATTTTCTTATCATTAAAACTTTTAGTATTTCACCATTAAATCAAGTAAATTATTGATTAAATGAAACGAAAAAATATAGAAAAATACAACAATTTATCTACGAATATTAAAAAAAACCATTATATTTTGTTTATATACAGAAAACTCTACATTTTCAGTTACGTTTTAGATTTAACTAAATATCTACTTGTTTTTGAAGAAGTTATTGGTTGTCTAATGATATGACATTTGTCTTGTTTGCTTTTAGATCAGAATGGAAAAAAAAAAATAATACCTGTTTTTGTTTGAGTAAATGTTCGTCAAGTAAATGATATATTTTTACGTTTTATCTGAGACAAGAGCCAACATCATTTATTTTTGTTTTCATATTAACTTAAAAACATCTGATAATTTTTTTAAAAAAACCTCGATATTTTGGTTAATGTTAAAAGTAACTGAAAACTTAAGAATTTTGCTACATAAAAATAAAATGTAAGGATTTTTTTTTAACTTCCATGGATAAATGTTTGTGTTTTTTTGTTCTTTTAAAATAATAAAAATATATGGGTTGTGGTGGTGGCAAGGTTCTAAATGGCGTGGTGGCAAGGCCAAGCCTAAAGCTTAACGAACCATGGCGAGCCATGACGTTTTTTCAAGGCGTGATGTAAGGCGAGAATTTTGTATTAATTTAAAATTATATTACCACATAAATATAAATTTATATTAAATATAACTACTTTTAGCAATATTAGTTCAATAACTAATAACAAAAAGTTAACAAAAACCAAAATACTTGTATCTTCGATTAGAAAAGACATAACAAATAGCAAAAAACTGTGTCTCAAACAAAAAAACACGCGCCATAACACGCCATGACGCGCCATATCGCGCCTTGCCACACGCCACGCCTAACACCAACGTTATAAGGTTTTTCGTAACGGCGAAGCCACGCTTCACGCCATGACGCGCCTTTTAAAACACTGGGTGGTGGTGATTTTGTGTCAACTTTTGGAAATAGTAGAAATAACAATCATACGGTTGGGCCTTACATCAATAGACATAAGAAATAATTGATTAAAATTACTAAAAATTAACGGTGAAATAGTAATTTTACACCTATTTACATTGCAAATAAATGACGTCAATGATGAGGACTTGATTCAAAACACTTTTCAAACCATATGGGTGAAATATAAAATAAAAATTATTCAGAGACCCAAACCATAACTTTCATGTAAGCACAGGGACCATTTTCATAATTTACTCTATATTATATAATGTGTCGTGTTTAACCATAAAATATGTAAAGCTGGCTGTCAACTGTAAACTTCTAGTTCTAGTACTTCTACTTCAATTCTCTCTCTATCATCTTTCCAGTGGTATGGGAACAACCATTCCGTCAGCTCAGCAAACGATAGTTCCATTTCCGGCAATGTCTTGCCGGAAACCACCACGTACTCCTTCCTTTTTGTCTGTCCTAACACATCCCACGTTTGTGACTATCAACGAAGATGACCTGAATCACAGTCTAAAGATTAATACAAAAAATAATACAACTACCACCACATCAAAGACTGTTGTTTATCACGACAACTTGCTTGAATCTATTGCCATTGATTACATCTCCAAAGCCTTCCAAGAAACCAGTGGTTCGTTTCATTTTTTAGTTACCCATTAAATTATCATGCACACGTATACATTTTTTTGATTAAAAAGAAGATAATTGCAGGTTTGAGAAATGAACAGACAGGGTACGACGGGTTTGTGGCAGTTTCATCAGCCGTATTTCGGGAGTTTGATCCTACACAACAACGTCAAGTTGTTGATAAGACTCTCGAGAAAGCTATTCCTGGTTTTATGCTTATTATGGCAAGTTAATTCTTTCTTTTTATCGAGTTTTTTTCTTTGTGTTGTTTTATTGTGTTTTTAATTGGAATTTAATTGTTTTGGATAAGCAGATTAGAAATCTGATGCCAGAATCGAAGTTTACAAGGGAGTTTTTTGCCATTTTCACCACCGTCTTCTTTCGTTGGTTAGTCGGGCCTAGCGAGGTAAGGTTTGCGCTTTTAAATAACTTCCGTAAACATATATATATTTATTTATAACCTTTAGTGATCAATTAAAATAATTATTTAACATTTTAACTAAAAAAATATACTAGTGCATTCCTATTCCATACGACATGTCGATATATAGACAAATATCTTATCATATTCTTATAATATGCATAAATGTATGATTTTATGTAGTTTTGATTCTTAACATGAAATTAAAGTGCATCAATTTTTCATTCATAGGTTATAGTATTATGCGTGTAGACAACAAGTTAAAATTTTAATATGACCTGAAAGAATATAGTAATGTTGTCATTAATTATTAATTAATCAAATTCCGTTGTTTGGAAGGTAAGAGAGTCGGAGTTTGAAGGGAAAAAAGAGAGAAACGTTGTCCACATACAGAAATGCAGGTATTTTTCTTGCCTGGTTACTAAAATTACAGAAATAATTAAAATTAATCATATGTAAAATATTTAATGTGATGGTGAGAATCTAACGATACTAAGGTAAATTTTAGGTTTTTGGAGCAGGCTAATTGCATAGGCATGTGTACAAACCTCTGCAAGATTCCGACACAAGAGTTTATTAAGAAAAATTTCGGAACTCCAGTCAACATGGTTCCTAGTAAGTAACAAATATGTGAATTCCTAAATAGGAAAAGTGCACCTAGCTAGATTTACACTCGATTAATAAGTGCACTCAAATCAATTCAAGAAACTCAAAGAGAATCAAGAATCTTATAACTTATAGGGAGTAACAGTACCTGCACTAATATATAGAGGCTTGAAAACATGTATGGTGGGCCCATGTGTACTCCACTTGGGGTGCACTACTGCAAGTAGAGCGTAAAAGTGTTAGTTCCAATATTTTTATAATCAATTTGAAGAGTGAATTCAGTCTCTTTTATGTTTCAAATCCGAGTGCCATTACATTTTTGAGCAGACGTTAAGTCATTGCATCATCCCCATATATACAAGTTGTGATCATTATATATGCATATTACTATTTGCAGATTTTGATGATATGAGTTGTGAGATTATATTCGGTCAAGATCCTCCAGCACAAGAAGATGATCCGGCATTTAAGCAACCATGCTACAAACTATGTATATACTCTTCATATTTAAGAACTCGATCGCATAAATAACAGACACATAAAAAACCACATATAGATCAATAAGATTATCGTTTACATATTTTGATATATATATGTTGTATGCAGGTAATGTAAAAAAAAGGCATAGTGCAAGCTGCATTAAGTAGACCTTCAAGGAGACACATGCAACATAGGGATTCAAAGAAGAAAAGGATGTGGAGAAGATGCTGCTGTGACCGTGCTGACCCTTCTCACACTCATTAATACGCTATAAGTACGTCATAAGTCACTTGAAAAGATCAAGGCATGTCATAATGTGTTTTTGTGATTGGGAAAGATGCCATTGAGTAATGCAGGAAAACCATATGTGTATCATTAGCGGACAACCATTAATTATTGTAAATATGTAGTAATTAAACAGTGTTACTTTTTAAGATGCGTTTAATTCTGTTGCATACAATTCGTGTTTTGATTTTTTTTTTGTTAAAAGTTGGGGATTGTAATAGGGTATGTTGATATCAAACTTGGATATATGCTTGGATCGCATATTCACTGTCCTTAAACTATATTTTGACCTTGATTGCCCGGTTGCACGAAATTGGTTAGAGGGCAATCCAAAGAGAAGGACACATCGAGTTTTCGGCACAAAATTAGAAATCCACATCTAGATTCATTTTAAGGTGTGTAAGTGTTCAAACTACTCGAAAAACAAATATTACATCTATATACGAATGCCGTATTATAAATATGATTCCATTGCCTTCAAAATGGGAATTACACGGTTTATATACATACATAATATGGGCTGAGCCTACATGAAAGGGTACAATACATGGACTAACTAAGTAACACATGAATGCAAGAATACAAATACGTTAACATCCCTTTGCAGTTTTATCTGGAAGATATTGTCAGACGTTCAAACTAGAACGAAAGTCATTAAATGAAGAAGTAGAAAGGTTCTTAATTAGTAAATATGTCGGTATACTATGATGAAGATGGAAAATGAAACTGATGTCGTCGAGAGCAACTTTGTCCCTGACAAAGTGCATGTCAATCTCTGTATGATTCGTGTGTTGGTGTTGAATAGGGATTGAAGACATACGTACAACACTGATGTTGTCGCAGTAAACGATGGTGGCTTCGGTGGTTGGACAATGACGCTCTATAGGGAAGTTGTAAAGTCAACATGTCTCGACAATAGCGTTAGCAACTCTTGATATTTCGCCTCAACACTGGAGCGTGAGACGATGACTTGGCTTTTGGAAGAGTAAGAGATGAGGTTGTCTCCAAGAAAGACACAATAACCACTAATATACATGCGTGTGGTAGGACACCCACCACAGTCGACTGAGTAGGTAGTAAGGTTCCCTATAGGGGATACTTAAATTTGTAAGTCGTGATTAATGATGCCACGAATGTATCTGAGTATGCATTTGGGAGCATTAATATGTTGATTTTAGGGTAGTGCATATATACGCATGTCTCCTAAAAAAAGCAATGTTCAGTTTGGTGAAGGCAAGATACTAGAAAGCACCTGCTAGACTACAAAATAGGGTCAGATCTTTGACGGGAGGCTTAGATTCATCTAGTTTGTGAACTGGTTGGGTAGGGGTACGAGATGGGTTGCAATGTAGCATGTGAGCTCTTGAAAGAATGTCAATCACATATTGTTGTTGCAACATAAAGAGACCAAAGGAAGATTGAATATAAGACCCCCTAAAAAATAGTTTAGGCCCCTAAGGTTTGTCATGGAAAATTCATGTCCTAACTACATGGTAATGTGTTGGAGAAGTGTGGTGGATGAGGCAGTAAAAATAATGTCATCCACATATTCTAGCAAGTAAACCATGACACTAGATAAAAGCATGATATATAACGATGGTTCAGTACAACTGTGTTAAAAACAATGTGTGTATCATACTAAGTAAACCCATTGTACCAGACCCGAGGGGGGGGGGTTGTTTTAGGCCATAAAGAGACTTCTGAAGGAGGCGAACATGATTATGGAATACAGAGTCCATAAATCTCTAAGACTCATGCTTGTAAACGATCTCCCACAAGTGCCCGTGAAGGAAATCATTCTTCACATCTAATTAATGAATGTCCCAATGACGTGAGAGCAATGCTAAGAAATGTCAAAATCATGGTCAGTTTGAAAACTAGGTGATACCCAACTGTTGACTGAGCCAATAAGCTACAAGTCTATCTTTGTAGCATGAAAGGGATCCATTTTCATGAAACTTGTGGCAAAAAAAAAAACAATACAGATCACACATATTGACCCCAGGAGGTCACATGACAAGTTTACAAGTTCCATTTGAGATAAGTGCATGAAACTCATCAATCATATAAGCCAACGTGGTCCATGTAATGCTTATAAGTGAGATCAATTGAGAAGAGGCACATATGAAGTATGAAGATTAAGACGATAAGTGGGTTTAACAATGTCAGTTCGATCACGAATAGTCACGGGGTGAGTAGGAGGTGGTTATATATAAGTGTTGGGAGAAGTTTGGACCGTGGGTGATGGGTAAGTGTCATGGGTTCCAAACAATACACAGTTACAGATAAATCACCCATGGTAAGCAAATGCAGTTATATTTCGAGTTGCATCACATACTTATCTTTGTTTTCCTAAATACTCAATAGTGAGCCAAAGTTGATGAGTCGTAACATTGATGGTGAGTACCTGTAACATCCCAAAATACGACCGAAATTTTTTTGTTTAATCATTACTAAAATCATTAGATCAATACCATAAAATAAAGCCCATACATCAATCTATCAAAACCATAACAAAGTATCACAAGAAAACTGTATCAAGACTGTATCAAATCATATCAATGAAAAGCTAAATCAACTCCCAGGACAAAAACTGAAGCTGTGGTGTGTGTGATGCCATCATCCCGAGCTCTTCCCTTTACTTGTGAAAGTACCTGAAACCAAAACTGAAACTGTAAGCAAGAAGCTTAGTGAGCTCCCCCAAACTACCACATACCATACAATAACATATAAACACATACTGGGCCTTGCCCACTGCGTCGGACCGAAGTCCGGAAACTGCATCGGACCGAAGTCCGGAACTAACCAGGGCCTTGCCCTCTGCATCGGACCTAAGTCCAGAAACTGCATCGGACCGAAGCCCGGAACTAATTGGGACCTTGTCCCCTGCATCGGACCGAAGTCCGGAACTAACTGCATCGGACTGAAATCCGGAACTGACTGAGACCTTGTCCCTTGCATCGGACCGAAGTCCGGAAACTGATTGAGCATAACATGACATAGTATAAACATATCAACTAGCATAAGCACATATACTGCATACTGCATCAGACCGAAGTCCGGAACACATAATACAAAACATACTTGAATCACAAAGACATTAAGCAATCTAACTACTGCATCGGACCGAGATCCGCAACTATTGCTAACTAAACGGGCGACATTGTGGCCATAGACCCGTTCCTACTGGAAGGAAGACTCACCTCGTAGTCTAGCTGCTGAATGAACTGCTCTGGAATATGTCTATTGCTGCTCCGGTTTCACCCCGGCTACAATTTCCATAAGTACACTCAATCAAATACTTATAACTATACTGAGGGTAAAATGACTATTTTACCCCTGGTCAAAGTCAACCTCTTGGTCAAAGTCAACATACAGTTGACCTGACTCGTCGAGTTGGGCTACCAACTCGTTGAGTCCCTACTCTTATTTCTCAATTCTGCTCGCTACTACTCGTCGAGTTTGGCATAGACTCGACGAGTTCCTTTTCGATACAGACACTTAGTCAATCTGCATCCGACTCGCCGAGTTGTATGAACAACTCGTCGAGTTCTCCTTCATCATATGAACATTCCAACTGGGACTCGCCGAGTTGTATGAACAACTCGTTGAGTCTGTTCATGAGATATGAAGATCACCTTGGACTCGCCGAGTCAGGGCATTGACTCGCCGAGTCCCTCCATGGATGAGTCCGATCTCCGACTCACTGAGTCCACCTAAAACTCACCGGTTCCACCCGACATAATACATAGAAGGGGGAAAACACGAGGACTCACGAACCGACTCGCCGCGTCTGAAGAACGACTCGTCGAGTCGGATGCATGCAACTTCTATACAATCGATTTTGCTCAAAACCACTGCATACAATTTATAGATCTGGGTTCCTAAGGCTTGTTTACCATGTAAAGTTTCCAACTTTACGTGTACATATGCATGAAAAGGGATTTAAAGGCTCAAAAGACACTTAAAAGAGTAGATCTAGGGCTTTCATGCAAAATGGCTCCAGAAAGGCAGTAGATCTGGGCTCTTGAAGCTCAAACCTAGCTAGATTCGAAGGCCATTCCACTCAATATGATCTCTATATTACAATCAAGCTAGGAAATGGATAAAGATGGCTTAAATGGGGTTTCTAAAAGAAAAACCATCATGGCAACAGAAAAGATCCGAAATATACCTCAATGGACTCTGGATTAAGTTCTAGATCCTTGCTCTTCTCCTTCTCCTTGGTCCTTCCTTCCTTCTCTTCTTCAAACTTCAAGGAAAAGCACACAAACACTTAAATCACAAAGGGGAGGGTTAGGGTTTGTTAAAGGATGCTCTGAGAGTGAAAGAGGCGAGTTTGGGGCTCATAACATGGTTTAAATAGGATGCAAAACCCGTGGGATCTAGGGTTTCTTCCAGAATGGCGGACTCACCGAGTCTAGGATATGGACTCGCCGAATTGCCACCTTAAACGTGCTCAATATCTCGACTCTACTCGGCGAGTTGGGCCTACAACTTACCGAGTCCCAGCTAAAGATGCAAAAATACTTAGATTAAAATACATACCAGGAACCAGGTGTTACAGTACCATATGAACTAGGTTTTGAGACATCGTGGAATACATCTACATTCTGAGTATAACATCAACTTTCTTCCATTCCGAGTAATTGGTTTTGGAATCACATTGTTGATATGATCACTCACATTGTATCCCATAAAATGAGTTGAAGACAATTATGTCCATTGGTCGTAGTTGAGACTTTCTAGATCAAGAATGATAGGAATGTAGGATTTGATATTTGTTATACCGAAAACCTTGTGATGCATACTATTTGCAGTATCCATTAATTTGAAAGAGAAAATATGGAGATAATAGTTGTCCAGGGTTTAGCCATGAGTGGTTGGAGAGCCGAAATAGAAAGGAGAGAAAATGTAGACGTGATGATGGAAAATGAGAGATTTATGAGTAGAGAGGGGGAGTCTTTAATACCATATTATGAATATGATTTCATTGCCTTTAAAATGGGAATTACACAGTTTATTTACATACATGCTATGAGTAGAGCCTTTATGAAAGGGAAAAATAAATAGGCTAACATTAAGTAATACATGAATAC